TTTCTCTTGCCTGGAGTGACTTTCTTTGTGACTAACTTGCTCATCTCACCTCTTGACCAGTCCTCTTAGAAGTTTCCTGGGGTTTAATCAGGCACCTTCATGTAATTGTTTTCATATGTGTTTACATTGAGTTTGATTATTTCTATCATATATTTACCTTTCTGGTGTAGTTTGTTTTCTAGGTCTCACTATGTAGCCTTGACTGACCTGAACCTCACTCACTATGTAGACCAAGCTGGCCTCTAACTCACCTCCCAAGTGCTGGGATTAAATGCGTGCACCACCCACCTGGCATATCCTTATCTTTAATAATTTTTTTTTAAACTAGCTTATAACTTGCCCCTAGTTATACTCTATTATGGTACCTGGTTCCTTATTTGTCCCCCCTAATGCAGTTAAGATTTTCTTGATAGTAATTTTTTTCTTTTTGTTTTTCGAAACGGGATATCTTTGTGTAGCCTTGGCTGTCCTGGAACTTGCTCTATAGACCAGACTGGCCTCAAACTCACAGAGATCTGCCTGCCTTTGCTCCCAAGTGCTGGGACTAAAGGCAAGTGCCACCACTGCCTGGAGATAGTGATTATTTTGTTTCTTTACCGTTTAGTTTTTAAGAATTACTTTATTTAAAAACATTTCTCATTAAGGTCCCAGTGAGATGGCTTAGCAGGTAAAGGCACTTGCTGCTAAGCCCAGCAACCTGAGATTAATATTGCTGAAGGAGACAACCAATTCTCAAAGTTGTTCTCTGACCTCCAGATGTGCACCATAGCACATACCTGCAGGTTTGTGTACATACCCACAATAAGTAAATATTAAAAATTTCCCACATAAGTGGCTAGCTCAGTGGCATTCAGTATATTCATATTATTGTTCAATGTGCTGTCATCCTTTTTTTTATCTCCAGAACTTTTCAACTTGTGAAACTTTAAACTCATTAAACTCCTATTCCTCATTCCTCCCTGTCATGCATTGTCCTGCTTCATGGGATTCTGAGTATCCTATATGCCTATCCAGGTAAAATCATTAACACTGATCATTTGTCACTGGCTTCTTTCATGTACTGTAACGTCTTCAAATCCATCTGTGTTCCAGCGTGTTTAAATTTATTTCCTTTTAAAAGGCAGAATAGTTTCATTGTGTGTATGTACAAGATTGATGGTGGTTCTTTTATTTTGGCTGTGAAACTGTTTAGGTCAGTGGGTATTATTGAATGAGAATGTGTATCTTAAAGACAGTATAATAATGTAGTGTAAAAGCTGTTGGAAGATTGGTCTTTTATTCATGGCTCTTGAATTGATTTTCTCCATGATCATGGATCAATGTATTATTTGTTCATCTTGTGGGAAAGGGGTGTTCACACATAGTCTTATTTAACCCAGGTGGGGCTCAAAGCTTATTGTGTGGTTGAGGCCAACCTTGAACTCCTGATTCTTATGCCTCCTGTCTTCCAGGTGCTGGGATTACAGGTGTATGATACCACACCCACTTTTGTTTGTCTTCTTTAAAATATGAATACCATCACCTCACATGACTATTGGGATGGTTAAATGAGATTAGAGGTTTGTATTATGAGAGCTTCTAAGATGCAGGGTTACTTCATGGTCCCAAACTTTATTGTTGTGTGAAAATATTTACTAATGAATTGATCTCTCTTAGAATTTAGCCTTAGCTGGGCATGGTGCCATATGCCTATGTTCTCATTTGGAATGCTGAGACAGGAGGATTACTGTGGGTTTGAGACCAGAAGGTTCCAGAACAACCTGGGTTACAGACAGACCTTGTCTCAAAAAATCAAACAAACCAAAAACATACAAAAAAGTCTTATAACTTAATTTCAAGGCAAAATTACATTACTTGTATATTTCCTTAATTTGCAGTTTGAGATGAATAGGATTAAGGGTTAGGTTAGAAAATCATAAATGCCCTGAATATGGTGGCTCATGTCTCTAATCCCAACATTCGGAGGCTGACACCACAGGATGGTTGCTAGGCCAGCCAGAACTCAACAGCATGATCCTGTCTCAAAGGGAAAGAAAATGGCATAAGTGGGCATGATGCCCAGTGGGCAAAGGCTGCTGCCACCAAGTCTCCCTACCTGGGATGGATCTCTACGTGGTGAAGGAGAGAGCTGACACATCCAGGGTGTCCTCTGACTCACCACTAAATGAATTAATTTTTTAAAAGAAGAGGAAAATCATAAATGCTAATTGGAGGAAAATCTAGTAGATTCCTAAAAAAGAATAACTTGAATTTTAAAATATATCATGAAATATTCAAATATTTGCAAGTTATGCGTCAAGCTGAATTTGCTCTTGTGCTGTATCCTACAGGGTTTCAGAGGGGACCTCTCCCCAACCACGGCATTAGCAGCTCATTTGTTTTGTTTATCCTAAGAGGGTGGGAATTCCCCCACCCCCAAGAGAATATAAAGGCTTTATTGGCCAGTTATGTGTCATTCCAAGCAGCCTGTGATCTCTGCTTGAGACCAAGAACCAGAGTCGTTCTTGGGTGTAAGTTTGATGTCCATGGCCCCTGGGAGCCAGTATGAGCACCTGGGGAGTATCTAGGCAAACCTGCATTTTTGTACCAGGTGGAGAAGGATGCGGGGCTCAAGGTCATCCTTGGCTATACTGTGTAATATTCTAGGCCAGCCTGGGCTACCCAAGGGCCTGTCTTGAACTCAAACCCCAAACTGGAAAGTTCCCTTTGTAGCTCAGGGTGTTTTTTATGAGTTGTCCCCATTTAATGTTCGTTCAGAAATTGCACAGGAGTAGGAAGGATAGTATTCCCTCTGTTCCATCCTGCCCCACATAAGGGAAGGTGGTACACCAGGACCCTTGCTATAGCACATGTACTGACCTCACCTTGGATTGCCTGTGAAACCAAGCTCCTGGAAGGCTTGTTGGGAGGGAAGTGTGCTTCCAGGGCCCCCAGAGAGACAAAACACAGATCTTCATGCTCACATTGTGGCATGTGCATAATACAATAATAAATCTTATTTTAAAAACAAAATTATACACTTAAATTGTGTGTGTGTGTGTGTGTGTGTGTGTGTACATTCAAGCTGAGTGCAAGCCCTTGTGTACCTTAGCATATGTGTGGAGGTCACAGCACAACTTGAGGCAGTCCCTTCTCTTCCACCATGTGGAGTCAGGGATCATACTCAAGTGCTCCCCCGGGCTCAGTGGCAGGGGCCTTATTCACTGAGCCATCTCACCATCTCACCAGCTATAATAAACTTAAGGGAAAAAGTGAAGGAATTATAGATACTTAGTTGGGGTATCCAAAATCCAGATAGGGCTCTCGGGGACTTACAAAATGGAGTCACTTTCCACCAAGGCAGAAGAGGATTCACCCCTTCCTCAAGCACGTGAGGTCATCACTCATAGCTTACATTAATATTGTAAGTAGTAGCCAATTAATATAGTTTGTAGGTTGGGGTGTATGTAACTTGGTGATAGAACTTGCCTGAAGTGTTAGACCCTAGGTTTGCTCTATAGTAACCCATGCCTCTATCCCAGGGGTGAAATCTGTGAGCAGGAGCATTGAGGGCTACTTGTTCTTAATTGGTACCCTGAGACAAGGTTACAGCTGTTGAGGCAGTCTGGCCATGTGGCTGTCTTGCCCAACCCGAGTTCAGGGAGCTGTTCACATGCCTGCCTGTGCTGCCTTCTGGGTAACTCACTGTACCCAGCTGCTGTCAGGAACTCTGCTCTCACTTCCTAGCCCCCTCCTGCACTTGTTATTTCATCATTGTCTCCCAGTGCCAGGGGATGACCTCCAGTTGGTTGTGAAGAGGCCCTATATTACTCTCAACAGCTTAATTTCTCAGGGGAGCCCTGGCCCCCAGCAAGCCCAGCAGAACACTGGAGTAGATGTCTTAAGGGCCAGGGATCTGTGAATGGCACAGTGGACTGCAGGGGGAAAAAGTAAACTTTTGCTTTTAATTTTCTTCCTTTTCTACAGTTTGCTTTAAATCTTAAATTATTATTGTGTAGGTAGTGTGGGTGAGTGGAAATCAAGAACAACTTTCAGGATATGGTTTTCAGATTCTTTCTTTCCAAAATAAAATGAGGATTGAATTCAGGTCTTCAGGTTTGTGTGGGAAAGGCCTTTACCCACTGAGCCATCTTGCCAGCCCCTTGCAGCATAATTTTTGCCCTTTTTAAAATGAGTTCACTTTAAATGATTTTTCTTTCCCCTAGTATTGTTTATCTTTAAAAATTGGGATTGTCTATAAGAGGGCTGGAGGGGTGGCTCAGGGCATATTGCTCCAGTTTGGCTCTCAGTATCCGCATATAATGTCCACACTTGCTACCCACTCTAGCTCTTCTGGACTCTAGGGGCATTCACTCACATGCACAAACACATACTTACTTAGACACATGCAAGACTGGAGATCTGCCCCCGCCCCCATGCATGTGGTTTTTTGTTTTTTAGAGAAAATAGCTTGGTGAAATTTGATTATACTCTTCAATCAGCTTAAGCAATCATTAGATCTTGACCAATCTTATTTCATAAGCCCACTATTCCTTCTATCCATATATTGCTTTAAAAGCAATTTCAGATAGTAAATTTTTACCTGTAAATATTTCAGCTTTAATCTATAATCTTTATATGTATGTTTATAAAATCAACCATAACAATATCAATACTCATAAAAACTAGTAACCTTAATGGTAGTTTCTAAATATCATAAAATACCACTCTCAACTTCAGTTAACTGAAATCACTTTAATGTTAATATTTTCAAATACATAAAGAAATAGTGTTTTATTTCAATTTTCTTAAGTTTTTTTTTTTTGTTTTTTTTTTTTTTTTTTTTTCGAGACAGGGTTTCTATGTGGCTTTGGAGGCTGTCCTGGAACTACCTCTTGTAGCCCTGGCTGTTCTCAAATTCACAGAGGCCCCCCTGCCTCTGCCTCCTGAGTGCTGGGATTAAAGGCGTGTGCCACCACCGCCCAGCTCAATTTTCTTAAGTTTTAAAAAGATTTTTTTACCACATTCTTTATCATGCATATCAAAACTCATGCTGAGTAGTGAGTTCTGTGTTACAAAGGAGGATTTGTTTTTGTACCCAACTTTAAGGCTTTGGTAACAAGTTAAACAAAAACTCACACAAACTGGGTGGTGACGGCTGCATATGCCTTTAATCCCAGCACTCAGGAGGCAGAGAAAGGCAAATCTGAGTTCCAGACCAGCCTGGTCTACAGAGTTAGTTCCAGGACAGCCAGGGCTAAATAGGGAAACCACACAAATGCAACAATACATACAATTGTTAAAAAATAATAAAAATAAAATCCTTTTAAAAAATGAATGTTTCCTGAAAGATAATGCCCATTAATATGAAATATAAATACCTGAAGCAATGAGCATTTTAATGAAACTATTACTTATAATAACTTCATAATGATGGTTATTAGAACTTTACACTTGTTTCTCAGGCATTTGCTTTGCAAAGTACATACACATAAAAACCATTTAAAGATTACTGTAATTTTTAAAATTTTAAAATCACATTGATTGGTGGATGGATGGATGGATGGATGGATGGATGGATGTGTGGAGGTTAGAGGACACCTTGTGGGAATTGGTTCTCTTCTCCCCATGTGGGTTCCAGGAGTCAAACTCAGTGTCTTTTCCCACTGAGCCATTTCACAGGTCCTAAAATGTTTTTAAGTTAATAAATTAAGATAAAAGTTGATTCCCTTTTAAAAACTCTTTCTACTTTGGCCTTTTTACCAAAGGAGGCAGGAGACTGCTCAGTGCTGTTGGTTACTCTTGTGTAAAGGAATAGTCCTTATGGCCCCCTTTCTCTGCATCTTCTCTCAGCCCTTGCTAGCTGAGGTTTGACCCTAGCAACTAGTGCCTTAACCATCTCCTGCTTCTTAAATACTTAGACCTTTCTTCCCTCTTTGGCAGTGGGTTTGAGCATCCCGTCCTCAGTGACTACAGCTCATTTGTGTTGAGAGAGTGTTCTTTCTAGGAAACTTTGGTCAGAGTTCTTTCATAGAGTTGGGCTTGATGCTTTCTTTCTTTCTTTCCTGCTTCTGTACATTCAATGTGGCCAGTTGATTTTGATTCTTTAACCTGGCAGCCTGGGTCAATCAGGATAATCTTGGTTTTTCCCTGCCAAAATAATCTCCAAATTGTTGCAAAGAAGAGTTTTTTGTTTATTATTCATACTTCAGAATTATGTGAATGGCCATTCGCAGTTCAGAAGATTCTTTTCATTGCTACCACCCCAGACACAGTAGAGGAAAGGGCTCTAGAAGGGCTTTTGTCAGGCCATTCTGGCCCAGAAATGACATTCATGTCTTAGTTGCCAGTGGTAGTCACATGACCCTAATTAACATCAAGACTGGGAAGGGCATCAGATCAGAGGTACAAGTACAGTGCTACCATGTGCCCCAAACAGGGGTAATCAGAATTCTTGGTGAACAGCAATAAGTTCTATGTACTCCTTTGAGAATTTAGGTCAAGGGCTGGGGCTGACCATAGGTAAAGGTAGGTGAAGGAAAGAGGATCAGACCTGTGGAATTTAGAGGTCTAGAATGACTTTGTATTCTTTTCTCACCCAGGATAAAACTTCCTGATTATTTCACCTATTGAAATATGGTTTCCAGATCCCTAAGTAGTACAGATGCCCTGCATTTCCCCAGGGTTGTTTCAGAGGTGTTATTTAATGTCTAAGGCAGAGTGAAGTGTGGGCTCTGGCCAGGGAGCTAGATGAAGTCTTTCCTTCCTTTTGGGTGCTTTAAAATCAGTGTTCAGGTTTGTCCATTCGGTTACAGCTTTTATTTTTGCTTATGTGTGTGTATGTATGTGTATTGTTATATTTGTGTTGGTGCCTTCAGAGGCCAGGGAAGTTACAGGGAATTGTGAGCCACCTGATGTGGGTATTGGGCTCTGAGTCTGGTTCTCTGGAAGAGTAGCAAGTGCTCTTAACTACTGAGTCATCTCTTTGGCCCCCACTAGCTGTTTTTATAAGTGTATGAACTTTGGTTTTGTTTGTGTGAGTCAAAGCCTGATGTATTCCTGACTAGCTGATTGCTATGTAGCTGAGAATGACTTTGGATTCTCAGGTCTCTACCTTCCCAATGGTGTCCCATCTTAACCAGGTTCTAGGGAGAGATTCATAGCTCCCTGAATACTGGGCAAGCACTCTGCCAACCAAACTGCATCTCAGCAGAACTGTGGGTTTTCATTCTGTCCTGTGTGGTTTAAGTTCAAATAGGAAGACAGCCATAGAGTAGGTAAAGTACAAATAGGAAGATAGCCATAGGACAAGTAAGGAACAAATGGGAAGACAGCCATAGGACAGGTAAGGAACAAATAGGAAGAAAGCTGTAGGACAGGAAAGGAACAGAGGCTGAAGCAAACTCGGGGCAAAAGTCCTGGGGTGTCCCAAGCTCTCTGATAGATATAGCTTAACTGTGTTTGGGACCATATTCTTAGGTAATTCTTAGGTTCACTATAGTGCATTAGGGTCCCACTAATGTCTCTGAAGTCCTTGCATATGTAGGCCATCATCATGTAAGCTTTTTAAAGTGTTACTAAAAACAGTCACCTGCCTCTCATTTGCAGGTAGGGTTCTTTCACAGTCTACTCCTGGAACTCCATCAAAGACCATAACAATATCGGAAAGTGGTGTTATTGGATCAACTTTAAATTCTACAACACAGACACCAAATAAGATAGCCATCTCACCTTTGAAGTCACCAAATAAGGTAAAAAAGAAAATCAGCCACAAATGCCAAATACTGTGGTTGTTGCCTTTATTGTCTTACAAGTAACTTCAAATACTTTAGTTCTCATAATTTCCCAAGCAGATAATAGGCACTCAGTGAATACAGGATTAATTTAGTAATCAAACTGTTTTCTCTCTCTCTCTCTCTCTCTCTCTCTCTCTCTCTCTCTCTCTCTCTCTCTCTGCTAGTTTAAGACTTGGTCTATTCTGCAGCCTGGGTGGCTGGCCTAGGGTTCAAAATCCTCCTGCTTCTGCTTCCCAGGTGGGATTTTAGGTGTCCCGATCAAGGATTCATTCTCTTCCCCCTCCCCCCCTCTCTCCTCTTTCGTCTTTCCTCTCCTCTCTCTTTGCTACACCCTCATCCACAAGCAAGAAGTCTTTGCTAGTAAAGATTTTACCTTATACACTTGGTAACAGTAATCACTGGTGATTTTTATGGCCCATATAGATACAAGTCTTTTTTAATGAAGTATATGATGTGGAGCTATTATTCAGCTACTATTTAGCAAAATTTCTCTTGGGTAATAATAGACACATGTGAGTTTGTAGTTATAAGATGCTAAAGTAACCACTGTTTTATGGAAAATAAGTTTTTGCTGGTTAACATTCAGTCCTAGAAAAGGACATTGCTGTTGCTAAGCATATTATCAAACATTTGAAGTGTAACTGCATTTTAGTCGAAGTGTTTGAGAACTTTTCATGGTTTGTTTTCATCCTGAGAAGGCAAGTATCTAGCTTACTCCCTAAGACATACTGGTGTCATTGTACCAATGTGAAGAGACAGACAAGGCAGGTATATTTTAAAAGTCACTTGGGTGGAAAGCATTTTTTTTTTTCCTGTGAGATGCCACCCTATGATTCTGGAATACATTTTCTTTTGTCCCTGACTTCCTCCTTGATTTGTAGCTATTCACAAATTAAGCAACATTGAATGTTTGCTCTATACAGTATGTAAATATGATCTCTCATACAACTAATTATAATAGACACCATAAATAAATTACTATAGTACAATAGACAAAGTTTTCTGTAATAGAATGGAGTCAGCTTATGGTTTCATGCATAATGATAAGCACTGGGCTAAAACATAAATAAGGGTTTTAATTTCAAGGAGTTTAATAAGAACATTAGACGGAAACATTAAAAATTGTCTACAAAGCCTTGTGGTGGTGGCGCATGCCTTTAATCCTAGCACTTGGAAGGCAGAGGCAGGTGGATCTTTGTCTGCACAGTGAATTCCAGGACAGGCTCCAAAGCTACACAGGGAAACCCTGTCTCAAAAAACAAAAACAAAACAAAAGTTGTCACAGAATTTTAATGATTATAGGTAGACTGATGTGTGTGTGTGTGTGTGTGTGTGTGTGTGTGTTCTTGACTGAGATTTATACAGAGAAAACTATTCTTGTTTTGTCTTTAGAGTCTTTCTATGTAGCCTAGGCTGGCCTTGAACTCAAGGCAATCCTTCTGCCTCAGCCTTTTGAGTACTGGGATTACTGGCATGCTCCATACACCTGTCTATGAAGGTTATTCTTCAAGATTTTTAAAGTGAAAGGTAAGTGGGACTGAGCTGTGACTGAGAAGAGGTGTTCCTGAATTTGCAGATGTGTGGTATGGTCCAGGAGCTACGTTGTATTGGTAGTAAGATCCTGAGGTACTGTGCTTGCATGGAAGAATTGCTGTCTTCAGGTACTTCCTGTTCTTCGCAGTGCATATACATCAGTGGTTCTCACTCTTGTCACTTGGGTGGAAAGTGACATTAAATTTAGACATTAAATCTAAAGCACATTAGAATTACATGGGGAATTTTAATTACCCATGCCTAATTCTCATTCCAGACTCTCTCGAGTTTGAAGTCAAGATTTTGAAACTGTCCCAAATGGGTGCTTAGACCAAGAGCCACTATTCTGAATAATAAGAGATTTGCATATTGATAAAGGAGACGTGCTGAGTTTTAAGAGGCAGTTTGGGAGAAGATAATGTAGATCCTGAGAGAGATCAGCTAGAGTCAGTTTTGCTGTACTTCAGAAGCACCTGGGCCTCTTTAAAAACAAAGCAAAACAAAACAAATGTCTGACATCTTGCCGTACCCCATTTAAATTACAGTCTGTAGGCAGGTTAGATATTAGGTTTAATATTTTCATTCTACATTGTAGGTAAGAATAGAGAGTCACTAAGTTGGATCATGAAAAGTAGCTAAATAAGTAGCTAACTGGCATTCAGCAGAACAGTCCATTTTGCTACCAGCCCAGGCCAGTGTCACTTGTCAGAATGAGATGAGTTGGGACTCTTTTATTCTTTTCTCTTCCTCCCTCTCCCCTCCCTCCCCCTCTTTCTTCCTCTCTCTCTTTCTTTGAGACAGGTTTTCACCATGTAGC